GTATAGCAGCATACCCTTCCCTGGTCATGACAACCAGAAATGTCTCTAGACATTGCCAGGTGTCCCCTGGGAGGCAAAACCGTCCCCAGTGAGAACCACTGCGCTGGAGTAAAAAGACCGGCTCTCTTGGGAAAGACAATCAAAGCTGAGGACAGTCGCTACTTAGTCAACACCAGCCTGGAACGTCAGCTGCAGACGGTCACCTCCGATCAGACAGAGACAGCTGCCCAGGTGGGCAAACCTGCAGGAGGACCCCCAGTACCTCGTTTCTTCCTCTCCAAGCCCCACTTCTCCTCGCCTCCCCTACCCACGTCTTGCATCAGCTCCGAGGGCTGAAAGGACACCTCCAGGATTATGACCCAGGACTAATGAATACAAAGTACAGCTTGTGATCAAGGGCTGCCCTTGAACATTCCAACGAAAGCAAAGGACTCTGTCGCTGTTAGTGTTAGCAATGCCTGGCACAGCTGAGTGCCTCAGTCCCGGCTTCCTTCCCAACAGCACCTGGCTTCACTCTGAGCGCAAACAATCTGTTCATTAGCCTCGGGGTTACAAGTCCCAGCTCTGCTCCAATCTCGCTGGGTGACTCTGAGCAGGTCACTCTCCCTCTCTGTGACTTATATTTTTCATTTGGGAGGGGAAAGGGGGGGGCTGGCCTAGCTCTAACATTTTATGGTATCTGTGATTCTAGATCCGTGGTCGGCAAACCGCGGCTCTCGAGCCACATGCAGCTCTTTGGCCCCTTCAGTGTGGCTCTTCCACAAAATACCACGTGCAGACGCGCACATACAGTGCAATTGAAACTTCGTGGCCCATGCGGAGAAGTCGGTATTTTGTGGAAGAGCCACACTGAAGGGGCCAAAGAGCCGCATGTGGCTTGTGAGCCGCGGTTTGCCGACCACTGTTAGATCAAAGCATTGAAATTGGACCAATTGAGAAGGGCCAACTGCTTTAGGTTGTTTTAACATCAATTTTATTTTCCCCAGAGGACCTCAGGGGTAAAGGGCTTTCCCCTTTTGCTTCTGCATTAATGAAAAGTGAATAAAATACTCCAGAGCCCAAAGAGTGTACGGTCTGCACATCATCAGGCCTGGTGGACAGCTTCCCTCAGGATTTTACTGCCAAGACACTGGTGCAAGATGCTGGGCACAGATTCAAATACCTCCAGGGTCAGGTGAGCAATGCAGAGTGACCCCAGGCCAGAGCTGGCGGGGCAGAGCCCTTTCACCCTCTCCAAAGAGAGTGGCAGCTCGACTCCCACTCCTGTCACCCAGCAAGGATGTGGGCCCTGTATGCCAGACCTTCAATAGACCTGAAGTCTGAATTTAGGTTCAATATACCCTCCCCTTGGAGGCCGCTTCAGCAGTCTCTATCCATTTTAAATGTGCCTGGTCTTTAACTTAGCAATTGCATTTCTGGGAATTTATCCTACAAATACACTCAGCCAATTAGACAAAAACAGATACACAGGATGTTCCCTGGAGTCCTGTTTATAAGAAATGGGGGGATGAACTGGTACGTTTCGATAAGGGGTTATTCAGTAAGATGCTATACTTCCATACAATGGAGGGTCATGCGGCCCATAAAAAGAAAGCCCCCGAAATGTGCTGATATAGAAAGATGTCAAAAATATGTAATTATATAGACCAAAGCTTAATTTATGGAATGCCGATATTTGTGTGTAAAAGGAAGATTTAACAGATAAAAGTTTTAGAAGAAGCACAAGAATACATTAACCATGACATCTAGAGATGGCAGGTGGGGGGGAGGGGGAGGCAGGGGAGAAAACATTCTACATGGAGAGTGGGGAATGGCTATCATGACCCTGGTGGCCTCAGACACTGGCCCCTTCTGAGCGCCTGTGTCACTGGCCGCTGCTGCACCAGCGGAGGGGAGGAAGCCCACGCCTGCACCAGTGAGCAGGTGACGAGCCCCAGGGTCCTGTCTTAGGGACTTTGATGAGGACTGTCCCTCCCAAGCCCCAGCATCGCTGACATAAGTCAGAGATACCCACCTTCCTCCTGCAGATGCAACAGGCAGCACTAGCTTCTTCCTGCATCTTCTGATCCCACAGGAAAGCTCTTTCAGATTCCTGCTTGGCCTTCTCTCAACTTGTTTCCTCCACCGTGTGACCATGGTTAAACGTGCTTTAAGGTCGGGGTGGAGGGAGGGGACCTCAGAGAGCAGAAGAGCCACTGGGAAAGCCAGATAGGCTTCCTCCACTCACAGGTGGAAGCTCTCAAAGGGTGCCATGGCCACCGTCAACCAATCACGAACGGGCCAATATACCTGGAATTGCCGTGCTCCGGCCGCAGGAGGAAGTGTGGCTATACTAAAACAGAAGATTCAACCACCGCCTTTGGCTCAAATAAGGATTGGGTTTATGAAGAGATTATACAAAAGGAAAATTGGGAACATTTCTTCTTTATGGATAGACCACACAACAGGCTTCCTGCTTCTGCCAAGTACCCGCTGTGCCACAGTGAGCAAGATCCTTAAAGTCTCTGGCCATGTGTGCTATAAATAACCATCCGCTCTCGCTGGCCAGGGGCCAGGCACTGTGCTCAGCCCTTCATGGGCATTATGCTATTTAACCCTCCCAACAGGGTAATAATCTCTTAGGCATTGGAGTTAGAAAGAGCTCCCTTTGTCAAATTCCATCTTCCTCATTGGCTAGTTGAGTTATCTTGAGCAAGGTATTCACACTCCATGGTTATAAACAAGCGCCCATTTTACAGATAGGAAAACTGAGGTTTGAGAAGGCCAGTGTGGAGGATTTTTAGTTTTGCTTGTGACAGTCTAGGATTCCAATGGATTTAAAATTGAACTTGGCTTTCCAGAAAAATCTAATAGATACCTGTGAGAATTACATGGTTGTGCCAAAGCTTAATATCCACCTGCTTGGATCCATCGTACTGAGGAAAGGAGATAACATCCTGCCCACCCCCCCGAAATAAAACTTCAAAATAAGAGAGTAGGAAAAACTGATTCCCCTTTCCTCCCAATGCCTTCTCCTCTGGGCTCCTCCACTTGGTCCTGAATGGGAAGGACAAGGGCAGAGAAATCCCCAGAGTCCCAACCAGCAAAGCTGCAATAGGAGGCTAATTTGCGAGGGGGCTGGGGATGGCCTCATGGAAAACGCTACCATAAATGGGCATGTTTGCCTCAATCTCAGCCCTCACACAGAAATGTAATGATAACAACTACCTTGTAGGGAATAACACGTCTATTTCAGACACAAAAATAAAAAAACATGGTGTATACAAGGCGGGCTCCCGAAACTTCTCGGGGAAGACCCAGCTAGTTCACGTTTTGGACTCTTGGGATGATAGCCCACCTACGGTCATCCGGCTAGTTGACTACCACGCCACCAGGGGTCAAACGGCGCCTTTTATTTGAAATTCACAAAAGGTCAGTTTATGTTTTCTTCAAAGAGAAGATGGTAAACATTTGCCTTCTTGGAAACATTTGGTCCCACAAGAAACCCGACTCGGACAAAGGTTTTGTTCATGATAAAGAAAAAAAAGATGGTGAGGTCAAGGGGATAGACTTGGCATCAGACAGACCCAGGAATGGGATCTACCACTTGCTAGCTGTGTCATACCGGGCAAGCTACCAAACCTCTCTGAGCCTCAGCTGCCTTGTATACTCATCAGGCGTCAGAATGCCTCCCTTACAAAGTGGTTGCGATAATTAAATGAGATACATCAAGTCAAACACTGTTACAGCGCCTGGCACGTACGCGCTCCATCCGTGGCAGAGCCTTCAGTGGGAAGGCTCCAAAAGAAGACTGCTCTTCCTTCCACAGATACCCAACCCCCTGTCTTATAAATGCCATCTAATGACTTTCAAGCTCCCTCTCCTGATCAAAATTCTGCACCGGAGCTTTAAGGAAACCAAACAAACCAAGAAGACTGCACCAAACAGAACAAAACTATGCAAGGCAGTTTACTAACAGCCCGCCTGTCTTCCCTTCTCCAAACCCTGGCCAGTTTGCAATTTAGTCTATCAGTTCCTAGATAGACTAATCGCTCCCTGTCTCGGGTTTCTAAATATTTTCTTTTACTTCTTGATAAATATGGCTTTGAATGGTGCCTTTCCTCAAGCAGCAAAATCCCCACCAACTGTTCTCTGCGCAGGGAGGAAACTTAAAACAAGCAGTAGCCACACATTGCTTTTGCCCGCTTTGTGAGGCCTGAGAGTCACTTCGCACGGGCTGCTCCGCAGAAAGCCCCGGTGCAATCTTATTTAATGCACCTGCAGGTCATGGAGGCAAAGGCGGACTTTGGCAGCGGTCTGGGCATTTGAGGCCCCTGGGATCAACCTGGATAAATTTTTTAAAATTTGGAGGAAGGGGATCTGGAAGAAAACTGGGCTGTAATAAATGAACTGGATCAAAACCAGTCTATTTCTCCCGGGTTATCAACAAGCACAGCCTCTGGACTGATGATAAAATACTGCCCTCTCTGGGAGAATGTGCCCATGTGTTTTTAACTGAGTTAATGCCTCATCAGCAGAACCTAGCAGTGCTTCCAAATCCAGGTGCAGTGAACTTGGCGTGACTATGTGACAGGAATGGCCCTTCAGGAACGTCCACTGCACTCTTTCTGTGCCTAGACGAAAAGTTAGAAGCCTGGCCTCCGAGGCTGGACCTCTGAGATTTGTAAGGAAGCACATCTTCCAGATTTGCCTCAGAGCCAGAATCAGCTGGGACCCTTTTTACTTTTTAAGTTTTTCTGGAGATTCTAGTGTCACTGGAGGGGGGCCCAGGCATTGTCTGTTGTCTTTCATTAAGTACCTCCAAAGTGCTACTTAGCATTGCCGGTTTGGGGGAAATCTAAGGTGATGGGGCAGAGAGAAATAAAAATGGTGAGCCCCCACCCTCTCACCATAGTCCTGAAGAGGAGGGCAACGGATACACCTTACTGCGCCCCAGCCCCTGGAGGACCCTTAAAGCGCAGACCGAGTTCCCCTTCCCCCCACCAGGCCACACTACTTACAGATCTCCCACTGGGGGGATAACGGAGAAGAAACTGGATGGAGAGCTCAGATCTGGCACACCTCCCAGGCAGGGGCGTCCAAATCTCCCAGCTCGCCCAAGACGCCTCTCTTTATAGACCCGGAGCTGCCCGCGGGTGGGAAGGGGGAGGCCGCCCAGGAGGGCGGGGTGGGGGAGGGTCCCTCCCTGCTCCCTCCGCAGCGCCCCCTGCAGGGCCGGAGAAGCGGGCTTTTGGTCCAGGCTCTTGGGCGCACCTGGGGCGCCGGCAGAAGGGCGCACCTGGGACGGACGCGCAGGGGCCAAGGCGGAGGCTCCAAGCAAGGGCACCTGCTGAAGTGTTGGAGCAGGTGTCTCACCCCCGGATCCCCGACAGTCCCCGAGACTCCGGGTCCCTAGGGAAAGGGGTCGAGTGGCCAAGGTCTATGGGGGATGCTTAAGAATTGCTTCTCCGATTCAGTTTCAGCCTAGGGGGCTCTAACCGCTTCCCCTCCCCCCCTGGGGAGGAGGGTCGAGTTGATAGGTCCCCGCCCCCACTCCCCGTTTTATTCGCCTCCCGCTGTCTGGAAAGGGAGCCGGCCGTGTTGCCAAAAGGGTAGAAAAGGGGATTTTTTTTTTTTTGAACTTTGCAAAGTGCAAGGCAGGAGCCCCCGGACTGCTGGGAATTGTGCGGGAAGGGGAAGTTTTTACTTTTCCCAACTTGCCATCCCCACCTCCACCCACAAGAAAAAGAAACCCCACTGTTGTCGGTTGAGGCCCCGGGGCGCTCCATTCGCTGCCTCTGTGGCCTCAGGCAGGTCAGTTCCCTCCTCTGAGCCGTGTCCGCGGCGGAAACGTGTGTGGTCATTACGTGCTGTGATTTGCAAGGTGCACGTCAGGCTGCCAGGAGAATGCGGGCGGGACCCCGCCCTCGTAGAGGCTCCTATCCCTCCCAAGAAATTCTTGCAGATTCTTGCCTAAAATTTGACTCCCTGTCTCTCGTCCCCTTAGTGCCTCTACCAATCCCTTCTCTATCTCTCCCCCCACCTCTCTCCATCTCCTCATTGTCTGAAACTGTCTCTCCCCATCGCCGTTTCTTTCTGCCTTCTGCCTTTTTGTCGCTCTGTGTGTACAGCTCTGTCACTGTCCATCGCTGTCTTACTGCCTCTCATATGCCTCTGGTCTCGGTATCTCTCCTGTAGGTCTCACTGTCTCTGTGTCTCTCCTGTAGGTCTCACCCTCTCTGGTCTCTGTGTCTCTGGCTCCAGTCTCTCTCCCTCTGCCCGGCTCTCCGTCTTCCCCGGTCTCGCTCCCTCGGTCACACGCACGCACACAGGCCATAAAAGGAAGCCCAGGCGGTGGGCTGGCCCCGCGCCAGGCCGGGGCGGGCTCCTTCCTGCGGAATTCCCAGCGCCGCATACCAGCCCGGGGCTGCCCGCTCCCCCTGACTAAATATGGTGCCGAGCGGCCTCCGGAGCGGCGGGGGGCGCGGGGCGCATGTGAGTTCTGAGAGTTCTGCATCGCAGACCCTCTTGGTCCCGTCCCCATCCTCTCCATCAAGCTCACCTGGTACGCACCCTGCAACACACTCAAGCCCTCCTGGCAGCGCTTGGCGGGGTGGGAAGGAGACCCGTCTCCTTGACGCAGAGCCCCAGTCCCACGCGGGTCCCAGCTACTTCCAGCCAGAGGGATTGGGGAGAGGGCTAAAGGAGTTGAAGACCCTTTCGAAGGCTCTGTGCTTGGCATATGCCCCGTCTTATTCCACAAACCCTCCCCAGCTAAACAGGTCAGGTAATGCGGGAGGGAGGAGCTTTATTAATACCCCCATTTTGCAGGTGAGAAAACTGAGGTCCCAGAGGAGTGGCGCAGCTCTCACTGGGACTGGAGCCCACGATTGCCATGATTCACCTCCAGAGAGATTCTAAGGGAACTGCCCAGAAGAGTTGAGTTTGAATCTGCCAGTGCCAATTTCTAGGGCGACTCCAGCAAGGAACTTGAACCCTGTGTCTGTTTCCCTACCTGTAAAATGGGAAGGACATCAGCTATTCCTGGCTATTTGTAAACAGTCCTTGAGATGACCAGGTAAAATGAACACACTACATTGCTTCCTGTTAGTTGCTATTATTCTCAACAAACCTAAAACCAAGTAGAGTGGCACCAGGCCTTGGGGACATAGTGAGTGAGAGCCTGTCCTGCCCCAGTGTTTGCCTACAGGCTTCCGGTCCCTCTTGGTCCCTTCTTCATCCTGCCAGCATCCAGCTCCCCTGGTCTTCACCCCCCAAAACACCCAAGCCCAGTCCCCTGCCCACAAATGGGCCTAAATCAAAGAGTCAAGACAGAGGCAGTATTCAGTTGGCTGGGGAAGTGAGGGATAAAGTTCTTCAGAAAATGATGAATGGGCTGCTTCCCCACGTGCTTTTTAATGTCTAGGCTGTAAAAGGAATGGAAATTGTCCCTGCGTGAGCACAGAAATGCTGTGAGCAGGGAAGAAAGGAAGGGGGAACTAAGTTGATCACTACCCTCCCCTGTTTGCAAAGATAGTCCAGAGCAGGCTGTCAGAATCAAACTTGCTGGCCTCATGGTATGAAGTGGCATTTTTCCCAGAGGCATTTCAAAGGGATTGCATTTGATTCCTTAAAGAAATTGGTAACCAAACACTGAATTCTACTGCATTATCTCACTTAGTCTTTATAACAACCCTATCAAGTAGGTACTTTAAAAAATCCCCCACACTCCTATTTTGCTGTTGAGAAACCAGGTTTGGTGATTTAACCAGCTAAGGCAGCACAGCTAGTTAGTGGTGGAGCAGGAATTCAAACCCCATCTGTCTGATGCAAAATCTGAGGTTTTTAACTCATGATCTGCTAACCACCAGCCAGGCAACTTCAGGATGGTCAGTGAATCTCTCCTCTCTGAGCCTGTTTTCTGGGAAATGCTACAGGTACTCAGGAACAGTATGTGCACATAACAGTCATTCAATAAGTATCTGTCCAATGCAGCAGCTCAGACGTTTGGATTTTCAAAAGTGTATTGTTATCCCTGGCCTAACAGTTGGTTGGAGCGTCGTCCCATACACCAAAGGGTTTTGAGTTCAATTCCCGGTCAGAGCACATACCTAGGTTGCAGGTTTCACCCCCAGCTGGGGCGAGTACAGGAGGCAACTGATCAGTGTCTCTCTCACATTGATATTTTTCTCTCCTGCCCCCTCTCTAAAAATCAATGAACATATCCTCAGGTGAGGATATTTTAAAGTGCATTTTTATAATAATAATTAAATCAGATACTTCCATTTTATTTCTCATAGATCAAAAATCCAGTTAAGATTGAGGGAAACAAAAAAAGTTATCTTTTCTAAAATGTTATTTCAGCCAAGAACTGTCAAGTATGGTTCCTTGGCGTGTCTTTTCTGTGAGGTGCCATGTCCTGGGACTTTCCATGAACTCAGGAAACAAGATGGCAGAGGAGAAATTTTTCTCCTGGAGTCTTTTTACCAAATAGCTTTGTATTTGCCACTGGCTTAAAAAAGCTTCAAAGTATCATCCCCTCTAGTTTTTAATATTTTCAAAGGTTGGGTCCAAGCATGGTTTACTCCTGCACGTGCTTCACAATGTAATCATTTAAAAGTGTATCAGCCCTCAAGTCATCCAGCTCAAGATCTACACCCAACTCTGCCTCCCTGTGAATAAAGGGGCCTCATTCCTCACCAAGAGAACTGTTCGGCTTCTTCTCTCTTGCACAAAAGCACTTGTTTCACCCACGACAGCCCCCACGCTTCTCCGGGTACAAGGCTACCTCACCCAGTAACCTGCAATGCTCTTTCCTTCCTCACCAATTTCCAATGCTGGTGTCCTAGTAACTCCAGATTCTCTACCTCTATCAGGAAGGGTCCTAAGATTCTCGATACAAGTAGTTTTACAGTTCCTTACAAAACTCGATAGTCTTACCATATGACCCAGCGAATTATGTTCCTTAGAATTTATCCAAACGAGTTGGAGACTTATGTCCATACTAAAACCTGCACACAGAGGTTAACAGCAGCTTTCCTCGTAATTGCCCAAACTTGGAAACAATCAAGATGTCCTTCAGTAGGTGAATGGATAAACTGTGGTATGTGCAGATGATGGAATGTCATTTGGCACTAAAAATAAATGAGCTATCGAACCATGGAAAGACATGGAGGGATCTTAAATGCATAGGATTACGTGAAAGAAGCCAGTCCGAAAAGGCTCCATATTATATGATTTCAAACATATGACATTCTAGAAAAGGCAAAACTATGGAGACCATAAAAAGATCAGTGGTTGTCAGGGGTTGGAGGGGAAGGAAGGATGAATAAGCAGAACGAAGAGATGTTTAGGACAATGAAATTACTCATAATGGTTGATACATGGCATTATACATTTGTTCAAACCCATAAAATGTACACCACCACGAGTGAACACTGATGTAAACTATAGACTTCGGGTAATAATGATGTGTCAATGTAAGTTGATAATTGTAAGAAATATACCCTTCTGGTAGAGGATGTTGATGGGGGAAGCTATACATGTTGGGGGGAGAGGGGAACCCAGGTATATGGGAAATCTGTATCTTCCTCTCAATTTTGCTGTGAATCTAAAACTGCTCTAAAAAAGTCTATTTTTTTAAAAAAGATAGTTTTACCTCTTTCATTTTAAAAATAATTTAAAGAAGGCCATGCAATCCTTGCAGAAGTTATTACAAAAATAAAATACCAGTGGCTGGGAAGCATTGTCCCAAATGCCTTTAAAGGCATAGTCTCACAAATATTAATCCTTCATGTACACTTGGCTTTAGGTTAAAAGAACACATCAGATTTTACATAATCATACAGGCATGTGAGTCATATACAAATGTGTTCTTGCACATAATTATAAACCTATTAGTTTATTCTATGCAAACATATACGCTAAGCTTAATTTATCATCTTCAAAAGCCACTCGGCTCCTGCTTTGATTGCCCAAGTTTTAAATTTCCCCTTTTCCTAAATCCCTCTTTAGTCCCAATCTGCATACTATTTTTGTGTAAATCCAACGTTTCGCCTACATTTCTGAAAGATAACGGCTCCCAACAATCCCACGGGAACCCCCAACAATGATGTACTAATTTAGTTTATGAACAATTTGATGGGTCCTCTGTATTTATATTTGTCTTTCCTTTATTTTTTAAATGTCTCAGCCCATTTATCTTTTTAAATTACTGGATTATAAATTAGTTGACAGTGTTAAAAATCCTGAGTACAGAAATTTCTAGAGCAGATTTTCTTAGCTCAAGATCCTCCTTTGTGGATAATCATAAAAATCTCATAGTATTTTGAAAATAGGTGTTTTTTTCTTTTCCAAACATAAAAATGTAATACTAAACAAAACCATATATGGCCCCGCCATTTACTGGCTATTTTACTTATTTGTATTTATTATTTTTGTACACCCCAGTGACCAGATATTATATAACAATATGTGATCATCTCAATAAATCTCATACCCATCCAACACCACGCCTAGTTATCAGAATATTGACTATATACATATTCCCTATGCTGTTCTTTACATCCCCGTGACTATTCTGTAACAACCAATATGTACTTCTTAATCCCTTCACCTTTTTTGCCCAGTCCCTCTATCCCCCTTCCCATCTGGCAACCAACAAAAAGTTCTCTGTATCTATGCGTCTGTTCTGCTTGTTCATTTTGTTTGTAGATTCAATTGTTGATAGATACGTATTTATTGCCATTTTATTGTTCATATTTTAAATCTTTTCTTCTTCTTCTTAAATAAGACTCTTAACATTTCATATAATACTGGTTTATCCCCCCACCACTGCCATCTATGAAGAGGTATTGTTCCAAGGTGAGAAGGCTGGTGCCAAGTGCACGTACATCGTCAACCTTGCCCTCCATCTGCTAACAACCAGGTTGCTGGAGATCCCAAAGGGAGGCCTGGAGAGCCTTCGCCAGGCTCTGGTCTACATCTCTGGTGATAGAACAGTCACACAAACACCCTTTGCACACATGTGAGTTGTTTAAATTTTTTTTTTTTTATTAAATGATACATCGAAAGTATAAAAGTTGCCTAGGTACAAACAAGTTACAGAATAATGCATATAAATACACAATGAACTACATGTGACAATTCCATTTAGCTTCTATTTTGATAATTTTACATCAGTATCTAAAATGCTAAACTCCAGCATTTTTTCTTAATCTAGTTCTTTATGATGATTGCAATTCCTGAGATAAACTTAGTGTCTCTGCTAACATCTTTGTATGTAAACCAAATCCTCTGAGAAAAATTCAGATACTTATAGTCCCACATACATTATAATTCACAATTATAATCAGATACTACAGATTTCACTTAAAAAATGGAAATGAGCCCGGCTGGTGTGTCTCAATGGATTGAGCGTCGACCCATGAACCAGGAGGTCACACTTCCAATCAGGGCACATGCCCAGGTTGGAGGCTCAATCCCCGGTAGGGGGGTATGCGGAAGGCAGCTGATAGATGTTTTTCTCTCATCGATGTTTCTATCTTTCTCTCTCTCTCCCTTCCCCTCTAACTAAAAATCAATAAAAACATATTTTTAAAAAATTGAAATGACCTTACAGTATTTCTATACCTATATATGTAACTTTAGGCCACCAATAGGGATTCTTAAAATCCTTTGACTTGTATGGTTTAAGGGGATTTCTTTAATAATTTTCTGTATTCAGATAAAAATTCCTGGTTAATCTGTAAGGACTAAACACTGACTAGTACCAAATATATTATGAAGTTTCAATAATTTCCAGAGGCCAATTTTGCCAAATAAGCCCTTATCACTTTCCCTGTGGGAGATGTTTAAGCTAAATGTTGTCAGTATACAGTGACAATGCAGTTGTGCTCTGAATATATCAATGACTTTTGCCAGTCAGGTGCTGTCTACTGTAACAGATTTCAGTGAAATCAATCTGTAGATTCCACATTATAAAAATATCTTAATAAATATCAAAGCAGCATTTTAGAAATAGCACTAGGATAGCTCTTACTGTTTTTCTATCCGAAGAATAAAAATTGACATTTAATAAGACTTTCAGAGCCCAAATAATTAGGGGTTGGCCCTTTCATAGCTCGTCTTATAATTGCACAACTGAAGGCCACATGGAGGTTAGACAATGCCATCTTTTAAAAGGTACTTTCTGGTTTTCTCCTAAAGCCTGTCTCTTCATGCTGATTCCACATTCTTCATGTAATCAAATAAACTCTTTGTTTTACTTACAGCAAAATTAAAAGAATTAGTTCCCCCTCTAGATTTTAATTAAATCTTCCAGTAGAAGCCAAAATGATCTAAGGAAAGAAAAGTACATTGTTACCTAGTTTAAAAGTTCAATTTTAGATAGCAATTCTGATATTTTAATCTAATTATAGCTATTTGAAAAACAGCTAATCAAAAAAATCAAACTTTATAAAAATTATAGTTTTTTTTTCTTGACGTTAGTGCTCTTTTCTTAAAATTTTTTTTTCTATAAACTCACATAATTCCAGCCTGAAGGAAATGTAACTAATGTACATGCTAAAGAGCAGATGATATGGCTATAAAGACCTGTATTTTTTTTTTTTGAGAAGAATGTATAGGGTACTAACATTCATTTCTCCCTTTCATTTCTTACATCTAAGAACCTTTAAAATATATCCTAAAAACAATACATTTTCTTTCAAGTCAAATCCAATAGCCTTGATGACAGAGTTAGCTTTTATTCACAAATACAGTAAAGCATGAAAGACTACGTGTTTTGCAGAAACTCAAATTTCTACAAAGTACAAATATTAGTGATGCATTTTGGCAATGAGAAAATAAATAAGTGATTTAATACATACAATTTTAAGATAAAAGATGCCCCAAATGGAAATGTCATCTCTTCACGTTTTGAGAAATATGAAGATCTTCAATATTAGTATTTTTCCCCTTCTCTTTTATTAGATGGTCATCTGAAATGAACAGAAATGAGTGTCAATGCTTATCCCAAGTTAAAATAAGCTGTAGGCAGACACAGCTACATATATTTCAGGAAGTTATATATTTAAACTTGTATGCATTCTTTGGACAGCTTAGGACAATGAAAAAAAATACAACCTTTTAAACACTATTGAAAAAAATCAGAAATGTTTTGTACTAGGAACTCTAATTATTCAAAAAAGCTTCTTAACTTTTTTTAAAAGTGAATAGAGTACCCCCTGGAGTAAACCCATGGTAAGTAGCTACAAACTTCTCTTATGTTATATGTAAGGAACAGAATTCACAAGAAAGGCCAGGGTGTTTAGCATTGTGAGGGATGTTAAAGCCTTCAATCAAAAAGAAAAACCACCTTTCTTCAAATAGGCATGTCTCCCAGCAGCACCCTCTTGTGACAAGAAGAAAACTAGCACAAATTACATTTTCCTACGCACATCAGAAAACTATCCAAGAATTTGTAGAAAAAGTTCTTCAGCCAAAACCAAAACAATAAAGTTCCATGAGAGTTCAGAGGAGCCCAGAGCCTCTACGAGCACCCACTGTGCTCCCGCCATAGTGAAGAAGAGGCCCTAGTCACTGCTCAGTTTCTTTTGTCATGGGGGGGAAAAGAGGAGAGGGCAGAAGTGTTCTAGATTAAAAGAACCTAAAAAACTTAAAACCCAATCACCGTAGCCGGTTTGGCTCAGTGGATAGAGCATCTGCCTGCGGACTGAAAGGTCCTGGGTTTGATTCCGGTCAAGGGCACATGCCCGGTTGTAGGCTCAATCCCCAGTGGGAGGCGTGCAGAAGGCAGCCAATCAATGATTCTCTCCCATCATTGATGTTTCTATCTCTCTCTTCCTCCCCTTCCTTACTGAAATCAATAAAAATATATTTTAAAAGATAAATAAATAAATAACATAAATTAAAAACTTAATACCCAATGTAGACAAAAACACGATGCACAAACGAAATCCCTAGGAAAATGTGACACCTCCCCCCACCAATTCACCAAATACTTTTTACAACAGAAAAAATATAACCTTTTAAAAAAGATATTCTGAAATATTTTGATTAATTCTGATCACATGAGAAAATACAAATTTAGACAAGTTGTTAGAAACATGCAATTTTAGCACCAAAAACATATATTAGATATTCTAATTCTAAAGACAATTTGATTGTACACACAGTCTTATTAGTTAGTCCACAGCTGATCACTCTTAGAAATAATGTAAATACTACTACAGATCTGGATCACAGATAAAAAACAATCTCCTTCAATTTTAGGCAACTTTATTGGACTAAACAAAATTAATACTATCTTTAGGACATACGCATTTTTGGTTTTCTATAAAAGCATTATTAAAAAATGAAGTATGTTTTTCACGTACTTCTTCATAGACGTGTATAAAGCTGAGTTGATAATGACTTTACAGATTATAAAGGATCTGGTCTTTTATGTACAGCAACAACTACTACTTTGCCTCCAATATGACAAGTATTAATATCAACAGCACTATTTCAAAGGTAAGTGTGTATATATACATCCTCTTCACTTTTTCCAGCACTTTGAAAGCTTTGATAAAAGAAGTGCTTTCATGCTGGCATGCTTTGACTTATTTTCAAATAAAAGAGAATTTAAGTTTACTGTTTTACATTTCAACTGGATGAACTTGTATAAAGATAAGGTATTGTAATCTGAAGAATAAGTATTTTAACATCTTCATAATCTTGTCCATGTTGTAAAATAAAACATGTATCCTTTAAACAGAAAGCTAGAGTTGAGAAAAGAAATAGAACGCTTAAACATGTTACTGAAACATAATGCAGTATTGTGGGTGTTTTTTTAATTAATTAATTTAAGAGAGAGAGGAAGAGAGAGCAAGAGAGAGGTAAGAAAGATTGCCCCTCCTACATGCCTGACCCGGGATCAAACCCACAACCCAGGCATGTGCCCAGGTGCATGGGATGATGCTCCAACCAACTGAGCCACACTGGCCAGGGCTACATAATGCAGTTTTGGCTGACAATTCACAAGTTATTACATAAAGAGGCTAAGAAAATTTTTTGTGATCAAGAAAAATAATTAGCCAATTCACTATTCTATTGGTTCAACAGTCATCCTCATTTCTGAGTCTTCCACAGAGCTTTCCACAGGATAGGCACCAAAGCTTCACTGACTAGAACTTGACTCTGATGTCTCTGGCACTTTATACAGAAAGGACCCCTCCCCAGCCCACCCTACCCACTGTGTATAGGCTACCAGTAGTTAATCCATGACCTTCATCTCAGGAGAACTTAGGTAAGAAATACTCTACTTCTAACTTCCTTATTAGTCATTAGCCATATTAAAGGGAATGATTATAAAAAGCTTACAAATCACAAAAGTTATTTCTCAAGAGGCTATTTTTCCTCATTGGACTGAAAATACAAATGTCATGGGTTTGCTGTGGTAACAAGTGTTAATATGTACAATATCCACTGGTAACAATGAAACTGAGAAACTAGTATTGTTATTTATTCTTGGTGAGCATAAACTGGTAAAGCCTTTTTGGAGGAAAATTAGACAATATTAGATTATTTTTAATGCACTTAAGCTTTGAACCAGCAATTCTACTTCTAGGTATCCAGATGAGAAATACCTGTGTGAAGAAAGAAATAATGCTACACTGCAATACTGTAAAAGCAAAAAATAAAAAACAGTAAAAGTACATCAGTAAAGAGTGATTAGCCACACTATGGAATACTACAAAAAGTTAAAAATGAGGGGGAAGTAGATCTACATATATTGACAAAAATGCAAATTATAGAATAATATATATAGTTAACAGTGCATATAGGGGTTGGCAAAAGTAGGTTTACATGTTCATATGGAAAAAGACATGCAGGTTATGATTATTGCATAGCTTTCTTAACTCAAAAGAATGTTAGGATGACACAGTGCACTTAGGAACAATCTCGTAGGTGCTTAAATTGCCAGCCTTCATCATTTACACATTCTTGTAGTCTACTTGTTATATTCAAACACACTTTGGCACAGAGTTCTTACCTACTTTTGCCCACTCCTGTATTTTAAAGTTTAATTATTTTTTAAATACTAATGTGGTAATGCATGGCTCAAATTTCAAAAGGAAAATAAAAGGGTTACAAATGTGAATTTCTTTACTCCTGTCTCTATCCACGTATCTCTCCTCCCAGACACAAGATATCAATTCCTTGCCTATTCCTGCAGATTTTCTATCCAGTGCCTGTTTTTCTTCGATGCTGCTATTTGGAAGTTGTGTAAAATTCTCATAATATTAACTGTTAGTAACATTGTTTTTATATACAACCGAAGGAGGGAGGTTTGGAACAGAGAGAACTTGCCACTGGAATCCCAGAGCAGTCAGGGAAACTACAGAGCACAAAGGGCTTTTTAAAATAATGCCTTCCCCCTTTAACCTTTATGTTATAATTAAGTGTTTAATACCCTATTCTGAAATAGAGTTGCAATTTCCTGCTTCTGTTTGCCATCTTACTCAAAATTTTGTATACTTTTATCTTTCTGTTTCATGTAGAAGAAAGAATTCCTTTCATTTCTTGTCATGCAGGTCTTGTGGTGATAAACTCCCTCAGCTTTTGTTTGTCTGGAAAAGCCTTTATTTCTCCCTCATATCTAAAGGATAACAAAAACATGTTAACGTTTCACGAATTTGCGTGTCATCTTTGCACAGGAGCCATGCTACTCCTCTCTGTATTGTTCCAATTTTAGTGCCTATCAGTAGTACTTGAATACACAGAAATGAGTCCTGAAGGACACCCACCAAGTTGCTAATGGAGTTAACCTCTATAGAAGGGAGGGTAATTGGGGAGTTAGGGAGAGGCAGGAGGGAAGAGATTAAAGGGCATGTTAAGTTATATTATTTGAATGTTTAGAGATTTACTCATGTGCTTGTGTTTTGTTTTGGTTTTTAAGTACCTGCTAAAAAGCAGTTCCTTATCCAATCCCTGGAAAGGGAACTAGGAAAACCCCATGTTCTTTAAATGATGAAGTGTACAGGAATGGCAATCAGAGGTGCCGATGCTGCTAAAAATGATCAGCTACAGGCATTAAATGAGTCATTCACCTCTTAGTCTTGGTTTTCTCTAATATAAATTATTAGCTGAGAATGATTTCTTTTCCAAAGTTCCATCAGCTCAGAAATCTAAGATATATAGAAAAATAAGTCCTAGTGAAGTCAGAAATAACCTCAAAAAGGCCACCAGCTTTCACATCTTAAGCTAATATTTAACACTAGAGGCCCGGTGCACAGATTCGTGCACGGGTGGGGTCCCTCAGCCTAGCTTGTGCCCTCTCGCAATCTGGGACCCCTCAGGGGATGTTGGACTGCTGGTATGAGGGATGTAGTAGTGCGCAAAGTGGCAGGCGGCTGGGGAGGAGCCCGAGCCCTGGCTGGGCGCTGTGCTGCTCCCGCTCATCCTGGCCTCGCTGTGCCTGCTGCAGCAACCGGTAGCACTGTGCGAAGGCGGGAAAGGCTGTAGCCATGAGCCCAGTGTCTGGCGCCCAGCGGTCAGCTGAGCGGTGCTTCCGCTGTGGGAGTGCACTGACCAACAGGGGGCAGCTCCTGCGTTGAGCATCTGCCCCCTGGTGGTCAGTGCATGTCATAGTGATCAGTCAAATGGTCGATTGGTCAACTGGTTGCTTAGAGTTTTATATATCCTAATATATAAAAAGCCAGGGGCCGTCACGACCTAAACAACCAGACGGATGACTGAACAGCGACTAGGGTCCTGGCTGCTGCGACGGGATTGAGTCTGGGTTTCAGTCAGCGCTCGGGAGTTGGTCTGGGTCCCGGCCGGCGTGGTGGGCATCAGTCTGGGTCCCAGCCACCTGCGGCACAGTGGTGGGAAGGAACTGTGGGGACAGAGCCATGCTGCCATCAGATTGGCCTTTGGGTCCCTCCCCTCCCCCACAGGCTCCGGGGAACCAGAGCCATGCTGCGATCTGGGAATCTTGGTCCCTACCCCCTGCCCCCAGGCTTTGTGGAACCAGAGCCATGCTGCCTCGGACTGGCCTCTTGGTCCCTCCCCACTCCTATAGGCTCTGGGGAACCAGAGCTATGCTGCTGTTGGACTGGCCTCTTGGTCCCTCCCGCCGCCCGCAGGCTCTGGGAAGCCGGAGCCATGCTGCGATCAGACTGGACCCTACCCAAGGGCTCCCTTGGTGTGTAGGCTGGGCTGAGAGACCCTCCTGAGTGCACAAATTTTTGTGCACCGGGCCTCTAGTATATAGATAGATAGATAGATAGATAGATAGATAGATATAGGAAATCAATATTGCTCATAGAACTTTAGGAAAACAACAAAAGGCAATTCACATCTAAAATGTTTACTAAAAGTTTATTTCAACATTCAATATTTATATTTGTCTTGATAATCAGCTGTCTGAAACCCATCTGACCTTTATTTTTTAATTTGTTTTTTAATGTTTGTATTGGTTTTAGAGAGAAGAAGGTAGAGGAAGAGAGAGATAGAAACATTAATGATGAGAGAGAATTACTGATTGGCTGCTTCCTGCATGCCCCCTACTAGGAATTGAGGGCATATGCCCTGACCAGGCATGTGCCCTGACCAGGAATAGAACTGTGACCTCCTGATTCATGGGTCAACACTCAACCACTGAGCAGTACTGGTCAGGCCCACCTGACCTTTTTAAAAATAGAAATCAACTCTCTCTCACAGTAAGCCACAGTGCACAGTGAGCTCTAAACCATTTAGTTCAGATTATCAAATTGAGGTCCTACTGCTGATTTAATAAAAAAACAAGCTCATTTAAAGAGTGTGCATCCTGAAAGAAATATGGGCTATTCGCCTAAGATTTTATTTGTAGATACCTACCACTGTACCACAACAAAAAGTATCCTGAAAATGCAAAGGACACATAGTAAACCTGTGACTTCTCTATCTGTATGCAACATGTTTGCCTCTTTTTAGTCTTAGGTGGGAAAACACATGATGATTCTATAGAAAGCTATTTATTCAGTATGCTAAGAACTAAGCTGCTCCAGAAAGTACAAATTTATATGAAATTCTATAGAGAAATTATACCTAAAAACTTTGTCCAGTCATCCACCCGCCTTCCCCCAAGATTCTCTTTCCAAAAAACTTTTTGGTTTTTTTTGGAGGATAAACAACATGGGTTAAAACCATATTAGATATAAGTGGAATTAAACTATGACTCAAAAGCTTGGGAAAATCTATTCCAAAGATAAAAATATATAAGAAGGCAATATCCTTGCTAACAGCTAAATGATAAATCTCAGAAAGCTCATACCCATTTGCTCTCTTCCAGTAGGTTGTCTACCAGGATTTGCGTTTAGAGGCTGAAGTGAAGATCCTTTCAGAAATGTATGTTGGATGCCATCCTTAGTTCCATGCAAGAAGTGAGCTAAAATCCCATATAAAAGAGGTCTATAGCAGGAAGAAAACCAAAATCAATTAAATTTGCATGAATAGGAAAAGCTTAAAACATCTATGCTTTAAAAGGTAGCCTCTGACACTAAAACAGCCAAGTAATTCACTAGACTTATAAAATAAGGTTGCATAGTTATTACACAAATTGTAAACTGTTCATGCTTTTTTAAATTTAAAAGTACTATTTTACTCTAAAGATGATTTTAAAACCCAGGGAAAAAATGTTAACACCTTAAATCGCATCTAAACTGAAATACAATTTCAATCAATACACAGGAGGAATTCGGCTTGTAAACTCCAAAATCCAGCATAAAATTTTTCAGTACCTAATACTGACCAATACACAATAGGTATTCAATAAACACTTATTGCATTAATAATCCTTGCCTAGAGAAGGTCTTATGTCCCAAGAGACACACTGCCTGGTTTTAAACTGCCTTTGCCATTTGATCTCAGCAAGATTTTTTTTTTAATTGATTTCAGAGAAGGAAGAGGGAGAGAGAGATAGAAACATCAATGATGAGAGAGAATTGTCGATTGGCTGCCTCCTGCACAACCCCTACTGGGGATTGAGCCTGCAACCCGGGCATGTGCCCTGACTGGGAATCGAACTGTGACCTCCTGGTTCATAGGCTGACACTCAACCACTATGCCACACCAGTCAGGCAGCAAGATTCTTAATGTCCCAGCCTCATGAATGTTTCCTTCTCTGTAAGTTAGGGTAAGTGTAAACCCTACCTCATAGGGTTATTATGGACCAAATGAGTCAATAAATGTCAAGTGTTTAGAACTATGCCTAGCACATATTAAATGATATGTAAATGTCAGCTATGTGGGAGTTGGTTAAGAACTAATATTTAAAAAGCTACTTGAGTTTACAAAACACTTCTGCCTCTTTTCAGTTTACCCTCACCTTGTGATGTCATAATCATCATACCCAACTTATGAGAAAACCACAGCTCAAAATGAATTTTCTAGAAATCCCTCAGCTAATAAAGAAACAAACTTTATACCTGAACCCCAAGTCCCATACTCTTTTCAATATGCTGCCTGGGATTTATATTCGTGCTCTTGCACAAACAGAAGCTGCCCTGCTGACAATAGAGGTACAACAAATGTTTTCCTTCATTTCCAATCTCATAATTGAAAACAAAATTTAACGGATTGAGTTTTTTTAGATATCTATTTACTTATTAGTAGGTGTGATGGTTTAAATTATGACATTCCCAATGGACACAAGACACTGGGGGGTAGGGGAGGCCGGGGGAATGTCAAGAGGGGGGAAAGAAAAGGAGACATATATAATATTCTTTGTAATACTTTAAGCAATAAAACAAAATTTTAAAAAATAATTATGACGTTCCCTTCCCTTCAAAAGGTGGTGTCTAACTGCCCTCCCCTTGAGTGTGGGCTAAACTCACTTGTAATGAATCAAGTTCATTTAAGTAACAGCACTCTGCAACTTTAGAGACTAGGTTATTACAGCATTGTGGCTTCATTGTGTGAGTCATCAGCATGGAGATATCATTAAAGACTCAAGAATACTTAGAAAAGTGGGCAGTGGGACAAGAAGAAAAGGACAAAACTTGGGGAGTGCCCACAATTTAAAGGAACCCCAAAGGAACCCAATAAAGACACTGAGAACACCATTAGGGAGGCAGGAAAATCAAGACAGTAAAGGATCACAAAAGACAAAACATTTTTTATGACAAAAAATGTTTTAAGGAAGAGTGAAATCAATATTACAAAATGCTGCAGAAACTCAAGGAGAGACTTGGTACAAACTACAGAATAAAAGTGGCATATGATCCTGGAACCATTTCATACAAAGATTTGTGGGAAAGTTCATTGTAATTGGTATGTCATTTAAAATATTTTTATGGTAAAACAATTACACCATGAAGTAGGATGAAAAAATTCAACGAATTTTTGGGAAGAGAAAACGTAAGACTTCAGAACAATTTCTTGCTAGGAAAAGACTGCTTTGAGCTATGTTCCCAGGTGCCTATATGCATTTTTTTTTCCCCATTCAGGGATCCTCTAGAAAATGTTTAATTAACACTGAAGTAGGAAAAGAACTAAGAAACTACTAGAAAGTGGTTGGTCTTCTTTTTAAGAGCATAGTTTTTTTGTAAATGGTGTGGGGAGAATTTAAGATGCAGGAAGACCACAGAGTGGATAATAAAAGCAGAGGGTTGATTTTCATTAAGTGGTAAAACGGAGATTGAGCAGTAGCTTGGGGTTGGACATTGACAGGTTGTTTTTTTTTGGAGAGGGGAAATCTGAGTACATTACTAAATTGAAATGAAGAAAGCTATGGGGAGGATGAGTTATATCTGAGGAAGAAAATGACTGATAGAGCAAAAGCATCAGAAGAAAAAAAGGATGGATGAAGAAGCCAAGAGGAGAGCCCCTTAGGAAGGGGTAGGGCTATTCAGTCCTCTGAAATCAGGGGAATTTTAGCTCCAGAAAGCAGAGACCTCATCTGACCCATTTACTGCTGCATACCTTGGATTTGGGGCAGTGCTAGACAAACACTAGACCCAAATAAATACCTGCTGGATTAAAATGAAATAAAACCTCCCTATGAGATTGTGACTCCAATACAACGATATCTGAAAGTTTATTTTAAAAATAAGTTCTTGCCGAAACCGGTTTGGCTCAGTGGATAGAGCGTTGGCCTGCGGACTGAAGGGTCCCGGGTTTGATTCCGGTCAAGGGCATGTGCCTTGGTTGCAGGCATATCCCCAGTAGGGGATATGCAGGAGGCGGCTGATCGATGTTTCTCTCTCATCAATGTTTCTGGCTCTCTGTCTCTCTGTCTCTCTCCCTTCTTCTCTGTAGAAAATCAATAAAAGATATATATTTAAAAAAATAAAATAAAATAAAAATAAGTTCTTACATTGTATTATCCTTTGATTCTTCAAATGCATTTAGTTCTCGGATGAGAAACTGCCGGTCCAGTGGAACTACAGGTTGACCAGATTCTAGGGGGAAAAAATCATAAAAACACTGAGTATCAATCTAAAAAGCAAACATAATTTTGTTAAGAAACATACTTACCAGATATACACGTTTTTCAGATTTTTGGAAAATGATGGCAGATGCAACTTATGCTTTTATGACTTTCAAAATATTTTGTTAAATATATAGCTTAATACGGGTGATTTCATCTAAACTCATTTTTAATCTAATTTTTGGTTAGGGAAATACTGTTTCTGCAATACTAGGCTTCAGCAGTCTGTTTTCGTGAATTCAACACACGACAGTACCAATATCCATTTGGTGGCAATAACTCTAAAAATAAAATTAACCTGAATATTAAATGCTGGCAAGGATATAGGGCAACTGGAAACCTCATACTTTGTTGGTAGGAGAGCAAAAATGGTACAGGCACTAGCAAAATAGCTGAACAGTTTCTTATCCAGGTAAACATATACTTAAACACACAACCCAGCAATCCCACTCTTAGCTCTTTACCCAACAGAGAGTAAAACCTATGTTCACACAAAAAGCTTTTGTGAATGTTTATGACAGCTAGATTCATAATTGCCAAATGTCCATCAACTGACACAATGGAATGCTATTCAGGGAAAGAAAAAAGTCAACATGGCTGAATCTCAAAAGTATTATGCTGTGAAAGGAAGCCAACTCCAAAGTCTACATCCGATATGGTTCTATTTATAGGACATTCTGGAAAAGGCAAATGATAGGCAGAGATAACAACAGGTCAGTGGTTGCTAGGGGTAAGGAGTAGGTAAAGAAGTTGACTACAAAGGGCACAGAAAATTTTGGGGGTGATGGAAATGTTCTATATTGTGACTGTGGTGGTAGTTACACAACTGTATGCACTTGGCAAAATCCACAGAACTTTATACTAAAAAAAGTAAAGTATATTGTATGTTGCATATATCTCAATTTTTTAAAAAAGCCAAGGCATTTAATATGAAACTTGACTATTGTCACTATGTTTCACTCTAGGGAAGCTCAAGTCCAAGACATGTAATTAATGGTATTTTCATAATGTTCTTCTTTTCTGAGTATTAATGGTATTATCCAAACATCTATAACAAAGGAAGGAAAGTGGAGATACTGATATTAAAGTTCCTGAAACCAATAAAAATTATCAGTTTTTATTAAGACGTGTTTAATATTAAATAAAAGATCTGTAATGGAAAGTTCTGGCATCACAAAGAATTCATTCTCTCTTCCAAAAATCTACTTTATGAGTTCTTTTCTTTGATGAGGACATCTTTAAGTCATGAAATAGTTTTAAAGCACAGATTAAACCTTAAGGGAATTAGCTCTGGAAATGTGGGTCAGCTGGTTGGAGCATCGTCTCATACACCAAAAGATTGTGGGTTCGATTCCCGGTCAGGTCACATACCCAGGTTTCAGGTCTGATCCCCGATTGGGGCATGTTTGGGAGGCAATTGATCAATGTCCCTTCCTCCCTCTCTAAAAAAGGCAAACAAAAATACACAAAAAACCTTAAGGCAGTGGTTCTCAACCTTCTGGCCCTTTAAATACAGTTCCTCATGTTGTGACCCAACCATAAAATTATTTTTGTTGCTACTTCATAACTGTTATGAATCATAATGTAAATATCTGATATGCAGGATGGTCTTAGGCGACCCCTGTGAAAGGGTCGTTCAACTGCCAAAGGGGTCGCGACCCACAGGTTGAGAACTGCTGCCTTAAGGGAATTAAAGTATGTACAGGGTGGGGCAAAAGTAGGTTTATATGTCCTAATCACTCAGATGATTTTATGTCCTAGTCACTCAGATGACGCTGTTTTGTAATGGAATTAGATTTTCAGGCTACATACTTAGAATTGGTGGAAGGGAAGAAGATTTTGCCTCACATGACTAATGATACCTCTTACCTGCTATGAGAACAGACGATGTATACTTATATTTGTTGAATTCCAAATACTCCCGGATTAATTCATTAATAAGAAGGTTTTCATGAGACAATGTTGGTCGGGGTTCACTTTCATCATCTAGGGCTTTGAAAACTTCGGCTCGAATTCTCGCTTTTAAATGCCCTAAGACTCCTCTTTTTTCCAAGGTGTCCTTTAAAACTGTTAAATATAAAACATTAATGCTTCAACTATAGAATAAACTTTGTCATTCTTAGGCTTACTTTAAAGAAAATGTTTTAAAAGGTAAATGGCCTAACAACAGCTTTCAATCTAAACACTGTGATGAACTGAACAATGATCACCTTAGCTATCACAAGCCATGTTTGTAATAAAAAATAAAGTCCCCAAGTTGCAATGATGTACTATTTTAATGTATTTCAACAAATTCAAGTTTATTCTTCCTGGTTGAGGAAAAAAGGGGGAATAGAACTATAGTCAGCACACTGGGACCTAAACTTAACCTCCAGTGTCTCATATATTTTCTAGAGTATTTATCACTGCAGACAGGTTCTACGTGTCCCTAAAAACCTCTGGTCCAGAAAAAAGATGATTAAAGATTATAAGTACACTCCATAAAAGGAAGGAATGTGCCCTGTCTTTTGTATAAAAACCTTTGATATCCAGAACTCTTGGGGAATGGCTCATTCTAAATGAAAAGGTGGGTTTTATGTTAGGGCTTTTTTGTTTTGTTTGTTTTTTAAAGACAATTATGCATTAATTCCTTAAAACAAAAGGATTTTGAAATTTTAAGCCTAGTTAGAAATCTAACACAGAGTTTATCACTGCCCTCTTGAGAAATCAAGGCTATATATCCTCAATGTAACCTAACTTCTTGATGAACAAGGGTCATTATAACAAATATCAGTAGTTGTGATAATGAAATTTACCAATAAATATTAGTATGGATAGTAAAGGCATAGGGCTGAATTGGCACCATCACTTGCAGGGGTCTAGAACCTTCTTTTTTTTTTCAAATTGTCCCTAATGGCTAACTAACTAAGAACTCCAGAGCACCAACACATCTCACCCACAGTGCCTAAACCAGCCGTGGGCAAACTACGGCCCGCGGGCCGGATCCGGCCC